AAAAGCAACTGAAGACTAAAAAGAAGCACCCACTCAGCAAAGCCATTGCAAAAATTTTCCACGCTAAAGGTATTGCTACATGTTCTTCTGACACAATATGCGACACATGCAGAATTTCGTTGAAAAGAGATTTAACTGTGCAGAATAGTCCAAAAGTGACGTCCAATATTGAATTGCAAATAGTGTCAGCAGGAAAGTGCAACAAAAGTTGTTTAACATGTAGAAACACAGGAATAACACTGAAATTTCTTCCCAAAGAGGCCAGAATGGACCTCTTTATTCGGTTTGGTATTCTCATCCCCGCTGATGTACCTTGTTGTCCGCTTCATTTGACTGGCAATATCTCTATTTAGGAAAAAGAGTACATCTCTGTCTTCTACCGAAATATTGCAGTTGTTTGAAGGGTTAAGAAATGTTGCATCTGTGTCTGAGAACCGTCGATTGTGTTTTGATACTCACATATTGACTGATGTTGACTACCAATCACTTCTAGGGATTTCTAAATGTCAGTTCAATGACCTTCACAAACATATCACAGGAATGCGTAATTCAAAAGAAAGATCAGTACGAAATGCTTTGGGTATTTTCCTCTTCAGAATGAAGCACGGTCTTTCAAATTATTGATCTCTACGCTGTTTGGATTTAGCAGTCGCCGAAAAATTGCTCATATCATTAAACAAAATAGAGTGGCTCTTGTAAAAGATTTTGTTCCATCTAACCTAGGATTCCATCATCTTTCGCGTGAGTCTATCATAGAAACACATACAACAGACATTTCAAAGCAGTTGTTCTCAGATCCTATATCCGACACCGTCATTTTGGTAATGGATGGAACATACGTATTTATTCAAAAAAGTTCTGCATACAAATTTCAACGCCTTTCCTACTCTATGCACAAGAAGAGACCACTTGTTAAACCGTTTATCACCTCAACAACAGGCTATACTGTTGATGTAATGGGTCCTTATTTGTACAATGGCGAAAATAATGATGCTTCCATAGTTAATCACATCATGAAAAAAAAAACAGGAACAACATAATGAACTTTCTCAAAGAAAATGACGTATTAATTGTTGATTGCGGATTTAGAGATGCCGTTGAGTTTCTTGACGAGCTCGGTCTTCAAACAAAAATACCCGCTTTCCTACAAAAGTCCTCTAAGCAACACAACACATCCAACATGTCACGTCTCGTGACAAAAGTCCGCTGGGTAGTTGAGGCAGCAAATGGAAGAATTAAAAAATGGAAGTTTCTAGACAATGTCATCCCTAATACCAGATACCTATAAACATAAAGATTTTGTGAAAATCGTGTGTGCAATAATAAATAACTAAATACAGGCCGCCTCTAAAAAGCAACGATCAAAATGATGACGAATTAGCTCGCAAAATGAGATTAACAGCCCTAGAAAAAAGCAAAAACTCAGTTCAAGAACGCATCAGAAAAAATCCAAACTTAAAATTCAGAGAAAAGTCACAAAAGTGGACTAATTAATATAGAAGCAAAACATGCATTATCAGAATTTCCCAAGTTAAGTGAAGATGAATTGCGTATTTTGACTTTTGGGGTGGACCAAATTAAACAAGCCCGAAAATATTCAGATGAACACTTGGGGGAAGGTGACTATAAAATTGATCTTTCTTGAGAGGAATCCGACTTACTACATTCCCGTATACAATCATGACATACATCAAGAAAATTATAAAATATCTGGATTGAATTTTCCAAGGAAAATGTGGCAGGGTGGTATTGTGAGTGCAAGGGTGGTTCAAGAACAGTTGGATGTTGCGCACATGTATGTTCGGTAGTGTGGTACCTTACATTCGCAAGACACAATGGCTACCAGGCTGCTCCTGATATATTCACCTCTTCAATGTGCGATGCAGCTGATATTGTTGCAGAAACAGATTCTGGAGATGAATCCGTTTAATGTTGACATTCAATGTAATTTGTCAGATACTTAGTTGTAATTAAAATTATTTTATATGTATTCTGTTCTGATAATATTTTTTCTCTCTCGCTTTCTTTCTCTCTCTCTCTCTGAACGTTCTTATTTCCAACTGCTGAAATCTAAAATACGTTGATTTACTCTCTATATAATCTTATATAAAGTTTACAAATTCAATGTCTTTAACTGGTAATATTAGAAGAGTAATAATTCTTTACAAAGTACTTTATTATAAAGTAACATTCCTTGATGTGCAGAACTTTTGTTAAGGACATATGCAAGGTACCTTACCTACTGATAATTTAAAAGAGATATTCTGAATTTAAACTTATAATACCATTACATGTTCTTAACCAAAAAATCATCATGCGTTACCAGGGTTTTTGAAAAGATATCAAATTTTGATTTTTTTTTTCATTATTCAATAAAAAATGTACAAAAATTACAAAACATAAATTCCTTTTTTTCATCAAAGATTGTTGTAGAAGAGGTGTACAAATCCATATTTAGACATTAAAAGTATTGCACACGGGTCCTTCATTTAGTGGATTTCTTCAACTCCAGAGAAGAACCCAATAAAGTCCCAACTACGTTGCGTATGACTTTAAGGTCTGTCCTGTTGTGGTCAGCCGACCAAATCGTCTGCTTGACTGAACATCTAATTTAAGGTCAGACAACATGTTCCTCAAATTTGTGTTTTGTATCTCTTGGTATTACATGAAAAATTATCCATATTTGTCATTCTCTGCTGATTTCTACATTGTTTTCAAAATGTTTTTAAATATAAGTGCACAAAAAATTGTGATATAGGCCATACAGAAGATTACCCATAAGGGTTATATAAGAAATATGACCCTGTGGTATCTTGTCCAAGTGCCTGGTAAGCTACCCCAATATTTTGTGAGGCAACTTGTTTAAGTGCCTATACTTCAATGACAAATTCTTTGGAAAAATTATATATTTTTGAGGAACGTGTCATCTGACCTTAAACCATGAATTATTCGTACAATCGATTCCTTTCAAAAACAAATCTAAAACGTTTGAAAGTTGAAATTTAGATGTTAAGTTACCGTTTGGAATTAATTTAAAAATAGCAAAAGAAGTAAAATGGTACTTAACTTAAGTTTGTTAAGCGTAAACTTTCTGTAAAAGTGATATATATTTAAATCTCTAAAGTTAAAGATACCAAACTTGTATTTGGAAATCTGAATTTTGAATTTTGTAATCGGATAAAAACTATTGGGGCAGCAGCCTTCTGAAAGAATTTTACAAAATTTCTATTTTAGAAACCATGGCAAAACCGTTTGAGGTAGTTCGATCCTCAGGGTTTGAAAACCAGGCATTGAATAATTGAAAATTCTTTCAAAAATGTCTCTGAATTCTCAAGTATTGCTTTTACCCGCGATAGTTCTTCAAATTTCATTTTTAAAGTTAATCATATTATATAGGGAAAATTAGTAAATTTCGACTAAATTTTCAGCAAAATGAGAATAAACACTCCTACTATGCATTTTCCATTTAATTTTGATCAATAAACACCATTTAGAAATTAAACTCAGATATCCAGCCTTTTGAAAAAAATTCACAATTTTTATACATACGAGTATAAGGCACTTTAGTTTCTTTTAGTTACTTCGACCATTTTACAATGCATAGTGTCTAAAGATTTTCCTATCATTGCAAAACATTATAAGTCACTTCTCATTTCAGTTTATATTAATATGCATTGGTATTTATGGTTCGAATAGAAAAAAAAACTCGTTTTCTTGAAATTTGTCATTTCAAAATGCTTTTATGGGGTAAATATTTCGAATTTTTATAAGACCTTTCTGAGAACTTCAAAGAACCTTGATGCACATCGAGAGGCATATAATAAAAATTGTTGCATGAAAAGATTTAATTTTCAAGCTTCATTTTGAGACTTTTTGAATTAAATTTTAAATTATAGAGTAATCCTCGCTGGCTGAGGATCGCAGTACCATAAATCACTTCTTATTTCATGCTAATAAACATTGGTATCTAAGGTTAAAATAAAAGAAATCCAATTTAATTACGTTAAATGTATAATTTTAAACTACTTTTATGATGTACTAATAACAACGTTTTATAAAATTGTTTCTAAAAAACATCAAAAATATCAAACTGAGATGAATAAAATAATAATTGTTGCATGAAGAGATTCAATTTCAAGCTTCATTTTGAGAGTTTTTGAATTAAACTATAAATTAAAAAACTATCCTTCCCGACTGAGGTCAACAATAACAACAAAAATGAACTAATTTAAAATTATGTATCTCAGTATAATCTTCCTGTGATCAAATTTATATTGAAATCAGATAAAAATGTTAGGAGGAGACGCATTTTTGAAGTATTTTACAACCACGGCAACACCATTATTCCAAAGGAGAAAAAAATACAAACTTATTTATTTGAGTTTGAAATAAAGTATCCAGATCATGCACTGACCTTTTTGAGGGTTTGCAGAGTAATTAAATGTAAATAAAAACCAACGAAAACTACCGGCTTTGGAACAAGCCCCCCCCCCCCCCCCCCCCGGGAAAAAATAGGACAAAATTTTTAGCTTTCCACTGCCAAGTGGTGGCGTCTCCATATGCGTAAAAAATTTCGAGAGGGATGTTAAACAACATACAATCAATCAATCTTCTGGTCTCTGACCAGTAGAGCTAAAATAGACGTTGATTTTTTAAAAACAAAAGCCTGGCTCTATAGATCATAGTCAATGTAAAAAGCCTATGACACACAAGTGATTACCGATATCACACCAAATTATATTACCAATCATTAATAAAATTCCTCTAATCTTATTTTATAAATGCTATATTCGTCAGGACACACTCGCAGTACTATCAAACGGAACTTTTCTTATCGGAACACATGACGCCTTCCCAGGGCCACTAAGAACTGCCATGTCCCCAACTAGCATGCTGGGGACAAACTATAGATGTAAATATTTACCGTGTAACAAAATATGAAAAGAGGAAAGGATGTGAAGATCCCTCTATTATTTTTATTTGCGCTAGGGGTGGGGGTAGGGGCGTGAGTGTTACTCTGGACGATTTGACGTCACGGTACCTATGTGCGTCACAGTGTTTGACGTTCTCCTCGGACAGCCCGGTAAGTAAATTACTTTAAAGGTTGATTTTATTGATGATAAAATAAAAAGAAAATAAACAATTTGTATGTTATGAAGTATTAATGGGTACTATACTGAAATGGATTTTAAAATTCGTGTAATGTTACTGTATTGCTAATGAATTATTGAATTTTTGTGTAAGAAGAGAAAGACGTGGGTCTTACAGAATTATAACATTCAGATATCATTTGTATGCTGTTCTCTTTTATCGATGATTACAGTAATGACAATGAAAATTACAAACCATTTTTTCTTCCCCTTTGTAGAACATTTATTCTCAGTACTCTGCATACTGCGGACAACCAAATCCACAGTTTTCTTACGGGTGTCAGGTTAGTAGAATTTAAAAAAAAGATACTTTTTTTCCATACATATCATATTTATTTACTAATGAAGTCCATTATTCCAAATCCTTATTTTCCTTTTACAGAGTCAGGGCTGTGCTGGGTCATGTAACTCCCTGATTTTGATTATTCATGGTAAGTAATCTATATCCTGTAGAAAAATTGCAGAAATTCAAATTGTGATATATTTACATAAACTAAATACTTTTTCCTTTAAATATTTCTCTCTCAACTCAAGGGTTAAATGGTTCAGATCTGGCGAGAGGAATTCTAGAAATATTAGCAGACAATGTACATTCCTAGCAAGACTAAACACCCTACCACTTTTGACCATTTTAATTAAAGACTTTTAGACAAGAGTAGTATAAGCAGCCTAGATAGGGGAGGATTCTGATTGGCTGAGAGAAATCACGTGATCAGTTCTGATTGGTTGAGGGGATAGGTGGGTCAACTGAGTGCAGTCCTAACCCTAATTCCCCCTAGCCCTAACCCTAACTAACCCTAACCCTAACTAACCCTAACCCTAACCCCCTAACCCTAACCCTAACCCCTAACCCCTAACCCTACCCCTAACCCTAATCCCTTAGCCCTAACTAACCCTAACCCTAACCCTAACCCTAACCCTAACCCTAACTAACCCTAATCCTCTTAACCCTAACCCTAACTAACCCTAATCCTAACTAACCCTAATCCCCTTAACC